CTACAAAATCCCGTTTACGCGAAAGAATTATCGTAAGTTATGCTAGGTCTATAATGCGAGTCGTAAAGTCGTGAGTCGTAAGAACTGAATAATCACTATCGAATTTGAGGAGAATAATCGACTGTGATTGGTCAATTTTTACGACTCACGACTTCACGACTCGCATTGTAGACCTAGCATTACTACAGAAGTAAAGCCCCTTGCACAATAGGCGATAGCGATAGCGATAGCGACAGCAACAAAGTTGCCGACAAAGGTATAGCTTTGTCGGCAACCTCGTCGCTGTCGCTATCGCTATCGCTATCGCCTATTGCGCAAGGGGCTTTACGCTCGCATAAACGTAGTAGCAGTAAATAAAATTAATTTTGATCGAGCTTGAGATTCTCAAAATTGGTCATTTATGTTCTCACGTTGATTGGTTTCTTCGACATTAGCCGATTATGGCGGAATTATGGCGTCTTTTGTCGTCCAATGGGCGCGTTCAGCAGACACAACTGTTGCACAACTGTTGAGTTCGTCTTATCAACACACAGTGATTGGTTTATTCTAAAAGTAAGAGCCAATCACGTTTGACTGCTACTGAGCGGTTTGGTCTGCTGAACGCGACCAATCTAAACATTCCGTCACAAATAATGTAATAAAATAAGATGTTTTGATTGGTTGCAATGAATGATGCGACGCGTGACGCGCTTAATGGAAACTCGGCCTTATGGCTCCTGCCCACAGGACGCGGAAACGCTTGCCGCGCGGCAAGAAGCGACGCAGTAGCCAATAAACTTTTGGTTCTTACGGAAAAGCGACACGTTGATTGGCTACCGCGTCGTTTCTTGTCGCGCGGCAAACGTTTCCGCGTTCTGTATACTGTGCCTGAACGATTCTCGAACTGTCTCGAATATTTGACTAGTCGACATTGGTCGACATCGGTGTCAACTGTTCGGCACAGTTCGGCGGGAAACAGAGACCGGAGAGGAACCTTTTTTTTGTTGGATAAACAATCGGTAGGACTTTTCTCACCACGCCGAAAATAAACCGCAGTCATGCCCGTCATGTACAATTTAACGGAAGGAGCATTGGAGGTAAATGTGTTGAAAGCATTATATTGTTATTGCGTTGTATTGTGTGTAACAGTCGACATTTCATCGTTTTAGAGAATCATGCAGGGCACAGACGTCGAAAAACCGGTGCTTCAAATATTAGTAAGTATAGAATTCAGTAGCAGGATTTTGTAACTTCGTAACGACCAGTTTCGGTATCGTTGCGCAAGTACTATATATGGTAAAAAAAGCTGCGCAACAATACCGAAACTGTCGTTAAAGAGTTACAGAATTCCACCTCTAATCTGTCACGTCCTCGCAAGTCGGCGCATCAAAATTATTTATCTCGAAAGCGTGATTTTTTTTTTACAGAGCAAGCTTTAGTCAGCGGAGTCAGGACAATTGCTTCTGTCATTTTTATGTAGATTTTTATCTAACTTAAAATGTTTGTTATATCTTGATGTATTATGCGTCGTGACTCATGATATACATGTCTATCACATTGGAAGTATTTCAATTGTCAATCAAACATTTTAATTGTAATAAAAAATTATGATGTACATTGCACAGGACTGATGCTTTGGATGTGCAAGATAAGGATTCTACTTCGTAATTTTCAATGAACGCAATCTTAATAATCGTGTAATGATTTTCCAGGGTTATAAACAACTACCGAAGAAGACCATTAATATAAAGTATAGTGTCGCTACCGATCGCTACAGATTGATAGTGTCCGATGGACAGAGGTTAAGCTCGTTCACCATGTTATCAACTCAATTAAATAATCTTATCACGGATGATATTTTGAACGAGTATGCAATCTGCAGAATATTAAACTATCACTTGGCTTCAGTGAACAACGGTGGCAAAGAAAAGTATTATTTACACCTTATTTTTTGCATTAAAATAAGTAAATAATTCAAGTGTCAAGCATATTTTTTTCTATCAGACGCGTGATGCTGATATTGGGTATCGAGGTGTTGGTTTCTGGCAGTGAAGTTGGGTACAAGATAGGCAATCCAATTGATACAGACATTAAATCAGATGCTGAACCCACATCTACATCCACAGCTGCAAGTTCTCTTTTTCCAACTAGTGAGTTTATCGTTGGCTTGTGCCAATTGTGTCTAGAATAAATTACCAATTAACTTGTGTTTGCATTTTTTTAAATGAATTTTTTGAAATCTGTTTTGCTAAAAGATGGTGCAGCAGAAGAGGGTGCCATATACCGCGTTTACGCAAGCAACGCGAAGGAGACAGTTTCTCGTTTCTTTATGCAAACTATTATTATAACTATTATTATAACTATTATTATAACTATTATTTGCAAGAATATATATGATGATTACTATGTACAGTCTGCATCTTTGTAAAGCAAATCATATCTAAGTTATAATTATAAATATAGAATGTTCGTTGCAAAATAAAATTTTCTCCTTTTTACATATATCCATCATTTTTATTCAAACAGCACTGTCCGCTTCTATCAAACCTTTACAGAATCTCCAGTCCTTTAGCAAAATTCTACAACACGTATAGAAATAAATAAATCATTTAGCTCATATTATATCTTACTTAGATAGATTTGCCAAACGTCGCGAAATATGTAAGACTTAAAAATAATTTAAGACTTGAAAGTTATTGGAATTACTCTATATATATATTTTTTAAATTTAAATATTTTAATTTAAATAAATAAATAAAAAAAAAATATATATATATATAGATGCAGTGGTTCGCAGTTCGATTCACGCTCACAGCGCTGAAAGCATCGCTCTATCTTCGTTTGATATTCGACGAGCAACGAAGACAGATTGATGCTTGGTTCCCGATTGGCGGCTGGTGCGCATTCGCAAGATACGCATCTTTCTCTTGTCAGGGCTGCGTTCAAAAACGTCACCCGAGTGTACTCAGCGAGTTAGAAGGAGAAGGGAGTATACCCGTGTATACCCGGGTGACGTTTCCGAACGCAGCCCAGTGCTGGCTGTGCCACAGTATATATGAGGCTGTGCTTACATACACCTGCTTACACCGTGTGATCAGTGTATCAGTGATGATTGGCGCGTGAGGGAGGAAGGAGGAGGAGCACGTTGGTCCCCACGTCCATCGGTTCATTTGCGTTCAATTGCGCTACGCTTTGTGTATGTCGTTCGTCGCGTTCGTCGGTGATAAGCCTCTCAATTCCCGCTCCTTGTCTCGACGGCGATACGCAGGGCAGGGAGTACCTCGCGCGTTTTCACGGTGCGTACCAACGACGACCCGTCGTCGCCCGTCCTCGTTTCGTTCATTGAGAAACACGGCTATGGCGTCGTCCGATCAACCGATCAACATTGTCGCAGATCCAGCAGCACCTAACGTCGGAGAAACAACGGAGAGTACCAAGGAGTAAGTTCCTTTTGTAAAGAGCACGTGTCGCGTTACTCGGTAATCCGACGTCCGCTCTTGCGTCATGTGGATATAGGATTAGGAAGCTCTAGGACCCTATATTTAATTATAAATCGCCCTTGCAACGCAGGAATTCGCTGTAAAATTACCCTTGTAGCTGCTCTTGAAGCGTAGACGATTTGAATATCCACTGTGCTTTGTCTTTTCACATGCGTAGGCGGTCTATTTATTCTCCGACTAGTACCTATTAGTATTCGCAAGAATGACGAGGTTGAACGAGGGTGACACAAGTTCGAATTTTGAAAGTAGAGAGATGCTTGGGATGTCTAATTAAGAAAAAGAGTCATATATAAATTTGTATACATATAAATGCACATACTTGATGCTGCATATAGTATCAGTTTTGTAATATGCAATTTTATGTTATATTTCTTATTAATGTAATACTTATTAGTATTTTTATTTATATGCAATATTTACAGTTTGGCAGAATCGAAAAAGGAAGCTGCTAATGAGCATTATTCACAAAAACAGTACAAGAAAGCATTGGTCGGGTATAATGAAGTTATTGGTGAGTATTTCTTGCTTGGTATTATATAAGTATGTACTATTTTTGGTTTAATACATTGACTGTTTCTATTATAACTTTCTATTAGGTAACTTTGCCCCTGATGCTATTTTTATATCATCGTATTATTTTAATGCGTTATTCAATTATATTTATTTTTCTTTTGAAACACGCAATAAAATTTTATTTTTTCCTCCAAAAAATTGAATTCATGAATAATTGATTCAATCTTTTAGCATCAATCAAGATTGCAAATCATTCGCAATCAAGATTGCAAATCTATAGATTACGAATTAATTCGGCAGTCAGCGTGTTAAACAGAAAAAAACTAATTTTCTAACGATATTGAGCTCTATTTTGAGAATTTCACACAGTTATTATTATAAGTAATTATAATAAACTAAAATGTTTCAGAATTGTGTCCTGATATATCGCGTTACTATGGTAATAGAGCTGCATGTTACATGATGCTCGGACAATATCGAGATGCATTGGCAGATACTAAAAAATGCATTGAGCTAGAGCCAACATTTTCTAAGGTATGCTAATAGCTCTATCTGTTAATCATATGAATGAATAAACTTACTTTTTGTCCAATAAACTTACCTTTTGTCCATATTTATTTCTAGGCGTACGTAAGAATGATCAAGTGCTATTTGATTTTGGGAGACATTCTAGAAGCTGAGACCACATTAAAAAATTTGCACGAATTTGATACTAATAACGAGTCAACATCTGCAGAACAAAAAGACATAGAATATGTAAAAAAATTCCTCAAGGATGCTGATGCTGCCTACAGTGCTAGGGATTATCGTAAGGTAAAGAATTTGTTCTGATAACATTTTCATATTTATAAACGGATAAACTGTTAATTGTATAATTATTGGATTTTGTGTCCCCTTTAGGTTGTATATTGCATGGATCGCTGCTGTGACATAAGTACATCTGGAACACGTTTTAAGCTGACCAAAGCAGAGTGTCTAGCTCTTTTAGGAAGATATCAGGAAGCCCAGGATATTGCAAAGTAAATTGCCTTGCTAAATCGAGAATATATATAATAGTTATTCATATAAATATATATATATATATATTAATTTTATTTTACTTCAGTGATGCTTTACACATCGATAAACAAAATGCCGAGGCGATATACATTCGTGGAATGTGCTTGTATTTCCAAGATGATGTTGATAGAGCCTTTACACATTTCCAACAAGTACTGCGACTTGCACCAGACCATGTCAAAGCATTAGAAATATACAAAGTAAGAAGAGAAACAGAAAAATTTTTTGTAATTTATATTAAGTATTATGATGTATTTTAATTCCATACATTTTTCTTTTTTTTTATTATAGAGAGCAAAATGTTTGAAGAAGAAGAAAGAAGAGGGTAATGCAGCATTTAAAAGAGAACAGTATCAAGAGGCTTATAATCTTTATAATGAAGCCTTAACAATTGATCCGCACAATATCATGACTAATGCTAAGTTGCATTTTAATAAGGCAACAGCTGCAGCTAAGGTATTACATCATACTTTCTTTCAAAATTGATAGGGCTGCATAAATATTTATTGTTCTTTTTTAGTTAGGAAAGTTGAATGAATCTGTAGCAGAATGCACAGAAGCTCTAAAGCTCAACGACAATTATTTAAAAGCTCTTCTGAAAAGAGCGAGTATTTATATGGAACTCGAAGAATTTGAAGAGGCAGTTCGTGATTTCGAAAAAGCGTGTAAAATGGATAAGACTAATCGTGGTATGAATCGCTTCTTTATTAATTTCAACATATGGTATAATGAAGCATTAATAACAGATTGTATGCTATTATATAAGATATGCTTTATATATCTTTTTATAATTTTCTCAGAAACGAAACGGTTACTCGGAAAAGCTAAATTGCTATTGAGGAAATCCAAAAGGAAAGATTATTATAAGATTTTGGGTATTGATAAAAATGCATCTACTGAAGACATCAAGAAGGCTTATAGGAAACGAGCTTTGGATCATCATCCAGGTAAGGAATAAATATTTGTTGAAAAATTAATATAATTATAAACGTGACTTCATATCGTTATACTTTATATTTTATAGATCGTCATGCTAATGCCAGCGAAGGAGAGAAAAGAGAGCAAGAAAAGAAGTTTAAGGAAGTCGGAGAGGCTTACGGTATTCTCTCAGATCCCAAGAAACGATCTCGCTATGATCGTGGTCATGATCTAGATGATAACGAAGGTGGTTTCCAAGGTTGGTATTTCTATTTTTTTCTATGTACACAAGCGTAATTAATACATCATATATTTTATTACTGTTAATATCACTTTATTATTGTTAATATTATGTATTTATATATTTTCCATCTCTTTTTGTCCAGATATGGATCCGAACGCAATGTTCCACTTCTTCTGTCAAGATGGAGGCTTTCAGTTCCAATTTCACGATGGTTTCCCTAGTAGTAACGCTTTTCAGTTCCAGTTTCCAGGTTAATGATGTTTTTAAAAACTCATGATATGATACGGTGTATCTAACTGTGTATATGGTATTCGAGTCTGTTTCAGTAAATATACCTCATCGAATTTTTCGAATATTTAAGCTTACGATGCAATGTAGTATCATTTTGCGTTTTATTATATTGAAGTTGATGAACGTAAGGATTCGTCTGAACGATTGATACGTATATTTATTTCAATATAACAAAGTTGTATATATAACATTCATGATTTTATTATACTCGTATATTACGATACGATAGATTTTCGATTTAATATAAGCGAAAGAACATTAAGGTTAATCGTCGAAGTACAACAGGCATTTTCGAAGCCTGCAACACGCTTGTACCTGACGAAACCTTTGATAATAGATAAGAAAAGAAAATATCCATTAGATTGATAGATGAAATATTCTTATTGAGAAGTCTATTTTATTTTTTAATTGAAATCTCTAGACAACTGTCTTGTCATGATCACATTGTAGGTATTATATTGATCTGCAAAAGACTACAGCTTTCACTTATCAATCACTGGAATTGTTTTAAACAGTTCGTTAAAATTTAAAATCGAGAGTTTACTATAATTTTACTGACTGCTACGAAGTAAGTATATGATGTGTAATCGTTAACGAAATATTGTGTTTCGTAGACTTTGTGCCCGTATAACGTATACCTGCTGGTTCCATATCTGTTTCTACAAATAAAAGCAAGATACGACTGTCTTATTGCAAAGTAATTGAACGGTATAAATTCCGTACGATATGAATCCCATACATTTATCTTGCGACGATACACGCGCTTAATATAATCGTTCTCAAATAATTATAAAAGTTATAAGAATATATTGTTTCTATCTACAATGTATTCATTCCATAGAACTTTCTACAAATATATAAATTATAATACATTTTGCTTTTATTCAATTGTACGAATTGACTTTCCTGATATTATCCTGAATACATCAACTTTTTTATTTTCCACATAAAATATTAATTCTGTTGGAAAGTATTATACTAAGATGTTAAAATAAAAGCAGAAAATATTAACTGTCTGTACAGTATGTCGATAAAATTTAGTATCCGTAAATTTAATTTTTTATATAAATGTATATTTAATTTTTGTTCCTATATACATGTGTATATACATATATATATGTACGTGTTTTATCTCAAACAACCTTTCATGTTTCAATGACATTATGCGATAAACCAGCGAGGGATACATTGCCGCTGTAGGAGGGTTTGCTTTCACTTCGTCATCACCCGCGGGAAACGCTGAGATGTGGTTTTTCCTCCATTCTCAACCTACGCCAATTCAAGGGATTCATTCACAACACGGTTACTTTTTATCATTTACCTTATTGAGACTTGTCATGTCATGATCGTCACACTCGATACGCATGCGACGTTGAAAAGTCATAAATAATCAATTATTCCCGGCGATGTAGGCTTCAATAGCAAAAAGTTGGAGTAAAGAATATAACGAGTTTTGGAACCACTGTTCGTTGTTTTATCTCAATCATTCGCATTGTGTGTGTGACAAAAATAAAAATTTCATTTTATAATGTAATCAATATAAGTGTTCAAATATGCTCTTGATTTGTAAATTTTATTTTGCTGACTTGGAATTTTTATTTGTTAGATCTTTTTTAATGAAAATGAAAGAAAGAAAGAGTCGCCATACACAAAAGATACACACTCTCCCCTCTCTCTCTTCAGTAGAATTTAACTTTATAATATAAAAATCTGTTGAAATAAAATCTACTTGGAAGAAAAGAGAAGTTGCTTTGCACAGTTTTAAGTTAAGTTTTAAACTAGGTCTTATAGTTTACGTTTAAATAATCATTTGTTAAATAATAATTCTACTGTATTATTACGCTCATTGATACATACTGTCATTTGTTAATATATTAACAAATGATAGTCTATAAAAACTAGATTATAACATAGGATATTTATGAGTACCATTGAATGTCTACGGTGTTCTGCTCTCTAGCAGGTAGCTGAAAATGTACTGACGTGACAGCGAAGGACGTGGACGACACTTCTTTCCGAGACCACGTGGTAGCTTCTTGCCAAGCCGAGCAATTTCGACGATCACTTATCTTCCTGTTCAAGAATGTTCGTCCCTTGCTGCCGGGAGTGGACGCGTGGAAAGACAAAGGTTGAGAATGAGAAAGAGAGAGGTGGATGTGTATGTGTGTGAAGTAGCGAAGAAAAACCGACCGCTTTGAGGAAGTAGAAGAAAGAGAGGGGGGGGGGGGGGAGGGAGAGAGAGAGAGAGAGAGAGAGAGACGGACAATCAGAGGAGGAAAGTTTGGAGGTGACTTTCAGGCGTGTGGAGAGTTGCGCGCGTCAAGGCAATCCACTCGATCACTCTCTGGGGACACTGAGAAACCCTGGTTCGCCGCGTACTCATACACATGTACGTGAACGACAACGTGTGGCATGTCCACGCACCGTTGATCCGATGGAATAATGTTAGAAAAACCATTTAACTCCGTAAAAGCAGAAGTTGTTCGCTTTACAGAAAATTAAATCAATGATAAATCGAAGTAACTCGTTGCCAGAAAATTAAATCAATGATAAATCCAAAGTAACTTGTTGCCAGGATACCAGGTACAAGGAGCGTGTTGCTTATTGTTGCTATTATCGTAGAAAGTTGTTAACCAATCAATTCAGATAATAATTAGCTGTCTGCCTGGAGATATTGATTACTATTTTGCGTAAAAATACAATTCTCAATGAGAGAAAACTGATCGTTTTGGTTTTTGTTGCTAGATATCGTTATTATTGCAGAGTATTGGATTGTTTATAGATTGATATTAGGGTCCGATATCAATCTCCCTGATTATTGAAGAGTACGTGTTACTATTCGGCAAAGTTAAATCGCTAATAACTCAGTCTTCTAAGGCAGCTCTTACAATTAAGCTTTCGGAAGTTTGTCATAAAGTTATTCCTATTACAAATCTTGTAAGTACGTTACGAAAATTAATTCGATTATCAGTTTCGACATTTACTTCTTAAGAAAATAATGGAACACGAATGAAAATTCATACCATTTTCGTGGACACGTGCAAGAGTTATACGCAGGTGTTCGACGTTGCGGGCACGTGTCGCGTAGCGTGTCGTTCTCGATTGAACCTGTAACATGTCCGTCCCGTGATTCACACGGAGGTGTTCTCCAATTGGCTTCCAGCGATACAGCGTGACTGCGAGAGTGATCCTGATATCAGACGCCAAATTGCCCCTGTAAAGCGTGTCGGCTGTTTCGCATTGTTCTCTATTCGCATCTATATGTGTGCAAGTGTATGCATGTGACTTTTAATACATATATCTACAACATAGCAATATAACGATAACGATTAACGATTTATGTATATCATTTTATTTGAAACTATGATACACATATATATACATACATAGTATATAGGAATTACCTTTATGCGTGCCTGCTTTTCTTCTCAAATCCGCGATAAGGACGAGGGGATCATCATTCATATCGGTCAGCCGGGGGGTGAGAAATTTCCCCGGCGAACGCTGGTGATTCGTCACGATATCCCCGATATCCGCCCGTGACATCGCACGTTCGCGGTCGAACGACGGCAACGAGATCCAAATGTGCGATACGATGCTCACGATGCCTACGGTGGTGCGTCCTCGGGCGCGTGCGGTTCGTAAAATCGTTATCGGTGGCACGCATCGTCGCGCCTGAAGACTAACTTTCAGCCGGGGAAGCCTGAAAAATATATGTATTCGGGATTAAACGCGCACGAAAGAATTTCTAATCTAGGATGTTCGGAAGCCTCACTTGGGACTTTACCGAGGGATTCGTGGCGAAAACAATTATTCCAAACGGCAGGCATGCATTGACCCGAGAACGGGGGCGCCTGGGGTGATTTCTACACCCCAGTAAAAAAACGAAGCTCACCGCACAGTAATTTTAATGTCCCCAGCAAACGCCAAGTAATGCGCAACTTTCATGCAAGTTACACAATTTCTTATTCAACAATGTAAATGCAATAAGACGTCCTATGTCCCGATTTTGGACATTGCGTTGTCTGGAATGTGTTGAGTAGGAAATTGTAACTTGCATGTAAGTTATATATATGTTGTTTGGTGTTTGCTGAGGTGCTTCTTTCGTTTAAAAAAATTTTTTTGGTTTCTTTTTACTTTCTTCGGAAAACGTCGAGTAAATCCATATACATGTTCTCAAATGCTAATAAATTACAGAACAACACAAAATATGCAATTATATGTTATAATTAATAACAATGACTTTTAATTGGAGTATAACAACCCCAAGTGACCATGAGGAAAAAAAAATAAAAAAACAGGCGCCCGTTCTCGACTTAAAATCCGATATAATTTTTACTTTCATTTATTGTTAGACGAACAACCTCCTTTTCTGATCCTTTCCAAAATATCGATCCAATTCATAAAAATTCCTTCCGAATTCGCGCGCGGGTTGTCGCGCAAATTGGGATAAACGCCCCGGGCCGGTCAAGCGCGGTCGTGCGTGCGTCGCGTGCATGCGTACGTGCGTGCGTGCGTGCGTGAACGCTCGCGCGTGCAGGCAGCTCGACACGTGGAGAGCGAGAGCGAGAGGGAAAGAGAGAGAAAGAGCTCTCGGGGGTGTTGTGGACTGACGAGATGACGGCGGGGGCGGCGGGGGTGGCGGCGGCGGAAGGGCGAACGAACGAAGGGGTCGAAAATCGAACGAGAACGAGCGAGCGAGCGAGCGCTGCCGCTGTCATTAAACCGCAAGCAGAATTTCCGACCGCTCGCCCGACTCGACACGCGTCGCCCTCCCCCCCGTCCGTCACCCTTCCCGCCGGTCGCGCCGCGCGACCCCCATTCATCATAAATGCAATCAGATCGTATTACGCGCCATTACCATACGCTCTACCCCCCCTGTTCCAGTCTCCATCCCTCGGCCCTCCGCGGTCCCCGGTCGCGCGCGCCACCCTCTTTCTCCGCCGGCTCGCGCGCGCGATACGAGCCCGAAATTCACCCCATCCCCCCTCGCGCGCGCGTGGCGAGGCGAAATTTTCGAAAGCCGTCTTTCGAGGGCGCGGGAGGAAGGGTCGACGGCTGATTAGGTTTTGATTGCGTGCGCTCGGTCGACCGCAAGTGGAGAAACGGGGAGGTATACACTTGTTTTCTATCTTTCTCCTTTCCGGATCGTTTTGCGTGATCGATGTCGTCACGAGAGAGCTCGATACGTCATTAATAACGATAATTGATGACCTAAAACGTCTGATTCGGAAGGTACATTAATGGCATCTAATGAAATTCTAATCAAGAGATAACACTACTGGCGTTGTTAGCTGTAAATTGGG